TGATAAAATTACTGATAAATTATTTCAATTGAATTCTTTAATAGTGAATATCTTGTTCAATTACAGTATTAAGCAATCAATTAATAAGAATTGATAATCAAATAGAAATATTGATATAATATAAAAAATATATTTTTAAGTATAATAGTAATATTATTTATAAACTTGTAAGTTTATGAGATAGGTAATATTTGTAACATTAGTTATAAAACAAACTTATTATTTTGAATGTTTATTGATAAATAATTTAATCAGTAATTTTGACAAATATTTCATTTAAAATTCTATAAAACAGATTGCAATTTCTACATATAAATAGACTTAATAAGATAGTGTGTGAACATTTGGATTTGTTTTTAATTTAGTATAAATTACACAATAAAATAGAGACAAATTAGATCTTAACTGTGATTTGCATATTAAGCATGTTTTGCGTAAAGCTTTAACGCAATTACCGGGAAATTGTGGGCAAAATGTGATGCAATAGTAGTGGCGCTCAAAAAAGTCATGTCTATTAATAAATGAATGATTAAATGTTTTTGATGTTCATTAGAGAGGCTGAGATGTTCAGGCTGCCAGTGTTGGCACTATTGGAGAGAATCTCCAGAATCGAGAGACAGTTATATAACATTTTCAAAGTTCACGACAAACTCGTATGACTTACTGTTATCTATCGTAAGAGTGGTTTAGAAGAGCACCAGTTTGTCAGTCGCTTTCAGTTTGATTATTAATTACATAACTTTACAAATGACTTGAAAAGACGTCAATAAGTGCTACCAATTGTCCTAATCTTGAACTCCAACTCAATTCATATAAAGTTCATATATTTAACATACAGTATATTCATATTTAATATTCATATAAAGATTAGCGAACTCTTCAAATAAAGTTTTCGGTAAACTTTGAGACAAAACATGATATTCTTGTTATCAGTATATTATAAAAATGCAACTTTTAATTAATACAAATATTTGCTAATAAGTTACATAATGAGAGTGAAATAGATTAACAATATATGCTTTTATGGTACTACAGGTGCCAGTGCGGCGTCGGCTACCGATGTGTGCGCGTATCCGACGACATATCCATCTCGGCGTACGTCCATCGATGTCGACGTGAAGTGGAGTGACAGCCAAATGTTAACCAAGTTATTAATGTATCGTTTAAACAAATCTACGATTGAATGCTTTATTTAAGCTTAAAATTGAACCCATTTTAAGCCAAAGAATCGACATTACGTTCCGATCATTACATTAATTATTTATCCAATATATTAATTTCTATTATAGTATACTGTATATCAATAATATGTAAATGTTTTTAGATGTCATTACTATGTATTTAATTACGATTCATGTATCATTTAATTACTTTTCAGTCTTAATATAAAATATTGATTATAAAATCATTCAAAACAATTAACTTATTTCCAAATTCCCTTCAATTCATTACAAATATTTCGAAATCTAAATAAACTTTGTTTCATAAAAAAGACATGTTTTAAGTCATAAATGTTATTCAAAAATACTTTAAGATTTACATAAGATTTGTAATTAATTAAATTATTTCAAGAGTGTATAAATAATTATAAAAATAAAATTTCAAAAACCTTTAACTATATAAACTAAATAATAAACATATTTCCTAAAATAACCAAGATGCATTAATTTATATAACCTAACAATCCGTGAGCCCTATTACGAAGTGGTGGCGCGACTCACGGCCTCCAACTGATCACAATTTGGGTCTAATTTGTGTTTTAGTGCTAAATATTTTTTCCTAATCTCAGTCCAAAACAAAAGGCTGAGGACTGTGTGGGGGCCCAACCGTAGTAGCGATGCCGACCATCCCTTATAAAAGCCGAGAAAGCCTTCGGTTGAGCCGATTTTGTACATACAGTTCAAAATTCCCGAATATTTCAGTCCTTTACCCGTCTTTTCATCGACCGGTTGGTTGTAGAGTCGGGTCGATATGACATCGAAGGGTGTCATGAGTAGAGTGACGGCCAGTCCGCCCAACATCGCCGCCGCCAATGAGTTCAGGAAACTGTCGGCCGGAATCACCTAATGGTGCAGTCATTTCATCGGAAGATTCAATCAGTTTTGTATGGAATGCAAGAAATTTTCGTTAGAAGTCTGACTGACCTTTGACTTCGAGATAATGGTTTTGACGGTCGAGAAGGTCGACAACTGTATGGATCCGCCAATAGTGACGCGAGTCATGGAGGCCGCACATCCCCTCCAAAGGCCAATCACGCCGTACGACTTGTAGATGGATGTAAGGGCGCCTGTCATTGTTGAGTGCGGATGTTGATGACCGACAGCTATACTGGCCTCTGAGCGACACTGCAAATGCGTCTTAACCTACCCGTCCCGTCAACACAACACATAACAGTACTTTTTATCAATTCTATTCAAATTCAATACATTTTTCGCTTTAAGTGTAACTCAATTCACGCAGAAAAGAGTGATTTTCTCAGAAATCGTACTACAAATGCCTTCCCATAACAATAGGTGTCAAACCACTGGTGCAGTCATTCATTCATTTTTTCACAATTTATCAAATCGTTTGATATATAGTTCTCCTCAAAGAAATTCCTCAAAACTTTGTATTTGTATTCAAAAACTCAAAGAATGGCAAAGAAAGTGAATATTAATCGACTTCTAGTCAAAGATGTCATATGAAAGCCGTTTTTGCTCCCCATTTGCTCTCTCTCTCTCTCTCTCTCTCTCTCTCTCTCTCCTCTGACAAGTCTAACATTTTTACATTTCTTGCATTAGTAGTGAATCTAATTTTATTGAGACTTTAATTATATGATATCTAATGCTAATTACTAAATGGCTTTGCTTAGAGTTACGATAAGAAGTTATTTAATCGATTTGTGTACTGCAATCCCTGTTAAGACTATAAGCAATGATTAGATAACATGTCTCTAATATTATATTGATTTCAAATCAATTATTTTCAAATGAATCTATAATTAAATTAAATATAATCCTTTAGTAATTGGTTTAAATTAAAAATTTCAAATAAACCTATTTTAAGCAAATTAGGCAAAAACATTGTAACTCATGAAAAAAGTGATACTATTGTCACATGTAATCACATAAAAAAGGAGTAACTCTTGAGTGGGACTTAAGTCCTAAATTGATAATCAAATACAAATCATAGGGTATTCTTCGCATTGATCTCCACTTTATAAATGTTATCACAAAAAATGATAATTAATATCTACTGACGATTCAGTAGTGAAACACAATTATTTCAATGCATTCACACAAACAATGGCCTCATTAGTGATATAATCACCAAATGGTAGTCTATATCCAGTGACACATCACTGACACACTGGTGTAGTCTTTATATAATTAATACTAACATTAAGTTGTGTTGAAAAAACTGACAAAAACTTATAAAACAAGCAAAAAGTGATCAAAAAGTATTGAATACCAGATAAAAGGGACTTCCGATGAAAGAGCCGACGGCGCCGGACATCGCGCCGAATACGACACTCCTGTGGAAGATGACGTCCCCCTCGGCATCTCTGGTGAGTCCCAAGTTGTCGAAGCACTGGTAGGCGCCGAAGCGAATGCCATTCATAATGAACTGATACCAGAGGGCCGGTACTAACCCCTTCTGCAGGGCGAGTACCGACTCGTTGGAGGCGATGGCATAGAAGGCGTGAAAGACATTGCGGTAGTGGACCACATACTGTCCCCGAGACCGCAACTCCCCCTGTAATTGGATGCGAGTCTTGACCACTTCCAGGGGGTTCGTCAGCACTCCCGCACAGCACGCGCTCACCCCTCCCATCACGAACTCCTCCACCCGGAACATTGCCACCACTATGATAATGGGTCAACACCTTGGTTACCACCTTGATTACCACCTTGGTCCTATTGGGGGTCCTATTGGGGGTCCTATTTACCACCACTTTCACTCTTTAGGCATTTCTTTAAATAGTTTTACAGTTTATTTCATTTGGCGATCAATTGGTGTCCTTTTAGTCCTCAGTCTATTCAATACGAGTATTTAGTTTGAGTTCACAATTGATTTGAGATTAACTGCTAAATGAGACACTCATTTGACACATGGTTTACAGTCACATGTTTTTACGTTCATTTTATTGCGGATTACGAAATAGTTGTCAATTGTTTTCAAACAATACACTAATAGATGTCAACACAGTGTCTATACTTTCATTCAATTGGATTTTGCAGTCAAACATGAGATCCACTTTTTACTCGCTTTTCATTAGTTTGAAAAAGTTTGCGATACTTTTACGATTGAATGCAATTTATGTTAGATTTGTTTGATTCGTGTAATCATACGTTACATTCAATTCAATAACTGATACCCTTTTTATCAATAAATTATCTCAAAGTTTACAAATTAAGATCTAATAAATTATGAATTAATGACCAAGAATAAATCTACGTATACAGTGTTGTACCCGTAATTGTCAAGTGTTTGATAGGGGGTTAGGAATTGTCTGCTCTATAGTTGTTATCTCATCTCAATATTAAGACTAAGTTTCAGATAATTTAGAAGAAATATATTCCTAAAGTCAACATTAGATTGAATTTAAACTTTAAATTCATTTGGATTTAAATTACTTGAAAAGGGGTGACAAATATAAACAGTTTTGAGTTATTTTGCATCACATGCTCTCCAAGTTATCATTTCAATTACCACTAATTGAGTACACATTTGATGATAAAATGTGATACAGTATTAAATTCAAAAATGAATTCTTGTTTATAACTCAACAAATAGTTAAATGAATGAATTTTATCGACAAGTTTTGCTTACAGTATATTTCAATTGGTATACTACTATACAATATAAAGTATTTTTTTGTGAATAATTAAAAATACATTTTTAATACAATTGAACATAAATATATGCATTCATGTAATGATGAAACGGCACAATTGAATCTTGTTTTGAACAACGGTTTGAATATCAGAAATAATTTCACTTTTCATACCATCGACTGAATTATTAGAGAAGTGGAGAACAATCGCATATAAACTGAATGACAATTATATGAATGCCTTTCCTTTGCAACAAATGCCCAATCATTACATTATGTCATACAAAACGAATGACTTGTGAAAGTTTTT